AACGGAACACCAGCTTGGTGTGTTAGAGCCCAGGTTGCCTATTTTACTTTTCTTTTCAATAATAATAATAATAATAATAAAAATGTGTCTTTAAAATATACATTATACTCAAAGAAATGTATATCGTGATAAATAAAAGCAAAACCCGCAGGCTTGTGCACGGGTAAAAAAAATACAAATCATCAAGGAGTTCTTGAACGCCATATAAAACGTTTGTAGGTTCAACAATTTGCAGTAGAACACCCAAAGGCAAATGCAGGAACCTAAAACATTTTTGTCCTGAGGGTTTGAAGTATGTGAGCCCATTCGGGTATATGTGGTAAAAAAATGTAATCCAAAACAATATCTACAGATCAATAAAATTGTAACAAATTCGTACATCCCAAGTACTCTTCACTATAAAATGAAATTTCTAACAATTGGGTGGCCAATCGAGTGACATCATAAAAAATAGGTTCCTTAGGTCGAGCGGTATCCGAATAACCCTCATATATATGGTCCGATTCTTTTTAGTTTAGGAGTAATGAATTTTTTTCGGATTTTTCAACAATTTTCGAGTTTCGTGATTATTTTGGCCATAACTTCAAAAATAATTGTGATAAGTGCCTGCTTTTTTCGTTATTACTCCAAATTAATACACCCGAAACATATTAATTTTTTTTTTAACGAGAAGCAATTTTGTGGACAAAACAGGAACGTCGTTTCTAACCTTCTACATCTGCTTTACGTGGAGCTTTACGTGGAGAAGATGGACGGAACGGAAAGATGATGCATCGACAGATGACATGTGATTGTCGCGATGGAATGTGGAACTGTAAACATCATTGCCAAATGATCCAGTCCTTCAGTAACTGAGCGTGCCCCATATCGTTCTTCGATGTGTTGGAAGTATCCCAAATCTGTGGATGTTATATATATATATATATATATATTATGTGCCCTTTGTAACTATGCAGTTATTAAGCAAGCATACCAAACGCTGCGTTAGCACAAGTAACGACTTCTCGCTAATCAGTTGTTTACTTAGTGTCTCTATTTCTGAATATGTACTATGGTTTGTCCATTATTTATTGTATTATATTATTGTCTATTTTTTGCTGATGCTTATTCAGCATATCAAATTGTATAAATTCGTCCTCCGGGTACATCTCGATGTTGAATACCCTGTTAGACTCCGTAAATGTCATATCAATTGTAACTTGTAATTTTGTAATGGTGTGTACATACAGACCTCAATAAAGATTTTTTGAAAGTCTTTTTCAAAGTGATTGATGTAAGATATATATACAATTCATAGTTATTGTCGAAAATAACTAGCTAAGGCCCGAATCGTCAGTCGTTCCTACAATTGTAGGACGCCTTTATGGCCTCCTTGATTGTCATAATAGTATGTCATCTTCAGCAAGGTACATACAAATGTACTGCTTTAGATTTCTTGTCTGCTGTCAAACACAAGTCAATTGTGATGTTAGGTTATGTTTATTTTTTTGACGTTTAAGAAATTTTAGACAGATGAATCAAATGTCAAAGGATGTTTTTCTTGCAAATAATGGTGAGTCAATAATAATTCCCTACATTGAACAAATTCGTCAAGCTGTGGTATCTTCAAGTCCCATATCTGGTATTAACGATCTAAAATAAACAATGAAAATGGATGTGTATTCATTAAGTAAAAGGCTAACAGCTTACAACCAAGCTGTTCCTTGATGAAGGTAGGTAAGTTAAAAATTAATCATTGCATATACTTAACGCATTTTTTTAGATGTGTTTCGTTCTCACAGACCATATGAGATGTTGGATAAGAAAAATTGTATCCCAGGTGCAACTGCATTGTTGTCGGAGGTGCCTGTTCACAAATCAATGTTGGACTTTGGATTGCAATTATGTATAATGTGTAAATGCTCTGAAATTGAGTTTAAACATGCCCTGCCCAATCTGATATTTTGTTTATATTAGTGGGAACCTTAACCTAAAAATTTGAGACTATAACTCTAAAAAATATTATAAAATTGTAGCCCACACAAAGGTGTAAAATTTTTAATGTTTCTTGAATCTGTGCATCTTTTTTGCAGATATAAACTATCGTGATATTGCATACAAAACTCAGTAAAATTCCATATCTATTTTGGAAGGATAAAGAGGCGAATGATCTTCCTAAGAATGGATTCATGCATCCAGGCACTTGAAAGCATATTGGAAGGAGCCAACCTCACAGAAATAGAAAGTGAATTCGCTTTTTCTGAATGACATGTATTACACTGAAATTTGTAAATAAAACGCCTGTATAATCATAAAAGTTAAAAGCTATCGAGTTCAAGAGGAGCTTTGTTAGGCCTGGGCAGGCTTGATAAAGTGCATTTTTTGAATATCTTGATCAACATTTCTGTTTGACAAAATTTCACAAAGCTGATGCCATGGGTTTGAGATTGAATACTTGACATCATAGCACAGTGACAATCACAAAAGTAAAAATCCAATGAACTAGCAAAAATGCTATATGAAATACATATTTTGACACTTATGGTTATATCGGTACTTAGGACTAAAACATAAGAGATCACTCTTACTTATAATAGTATTTCTTCAGATCTACTTGCATTGCTCAAAGATACATCCAATCCTGGTAGGCCCAGTGCACAAGACAGAATAAGTCAGTGTAAGGAACGTTATCAGAGGGAAAAAAAGGAGAGTCAATATATATAAATTGGATATTTCAAGAAGCTTGTACCTACAGTTAATAAACCTTCCAAATATGATCTAATGTACCCCCAAATTAGAAAGATTTGTTTGTAATAATTGATTAGATATTGTTTTACCCCTGTTTACATAGCTTGTGATTTAGAAAATAGCACATAATCTAGGTAACATCTTGCTAGAGAAAAGACATTTGTTTAAGAGAAAATAAGGATTAAAAATTGATGAAATCTATATTTTTAGATATTTTTGAAAGAACCTATTGTATTTCTGTGGGTATACAATTGAGAATAAAAAATATATTTTTTTTATTTTCCAACCACCACCCATGGGGTACCGTGGGGCTATAGGGGGATACAGGGGAAAGGGGGAAGGCCACACGGACTCTGGCAAGGGAACACGTGTGCATGCAACATGCACACATTTTGGCCCCGCCTACAAGATCTGCCGGGTGGTTCCTCTGCGTGCGACAGTCAGAGACCTTATGTATATTCTACAAATACGTACCAACTGAAAAATATAATATATAAATGAAGGAATTCATAGATAGTATGTCAAAACACATAAGTATCAGTAATCAAATGGAGTCTTTATATCTAAAAGGTACAAATAATAACAGGAAATATGAACAAATATGTAGTCAAAAAAACATATCCAAAATGAAAAACTACAATAGTGTATTACAATAACCTTTAATAAATTCAAATTTACTTACATAGATTTCAACAGATTTTTCAGCTTTAAACCCATGCTGATATGTATTTAGGATAACCGATTTTCCAGCAAAATCATGTAGTCTATGATACATGCTTTCTCTAGCTATTTATACGTTACTTAATATCGAACTTTGGCGATAGTTATCCACGTTGAAGACCACATAAGTTTTAATTCCACCCCCCGTGCGGATACAGAAATCTTGTCGAACATAAATTCTGGGACCGCCAATTTGCCTCTCTTGAATTTTGTTATATGGGCGCCCCATGGTTTGACCAGGAAAACAGGGCAAATTTACCACTATGCGCCTGACGCCTATGTGTACCTATACAGGGTGACTTTGAAGTTGAGTCATTAATTTTCAGATAATGATTGTAGAAGGAAGATAAACCAAAATATGTGTGTGAAAATAAAAAAAAAATAAAAAAAAAATTTTACCTTGTTTTATAAAGTATCCTCCCGACAAGTATTTCAGTGCGGACCTGTATTTGATCGTGAGGTCCACTGTGAGGTCTGAAGTCACCTGATTCACGAGCCCGTTGTACTACTATTAACAAAGGCACGAGGGGTTGGTTGCACTCGATTGGGAAACCGATCCGCATAAACATGTGCCATTTTTTATTTCGTTTGAGCCACGCAACAGACACTATTCACACGCGACTGACACTGATTGTATGTATAACTGAACTGAATAAAGTAAACATCGTTCCAAATTCTTTCGCTTTTTTGTTTCCGATGCGATGAACCGATAAGGTGGATTATATCCGTTGTTGCCAAACACGAGCACATGATGTTATTGAGACAGGGCGGTACTCAAACTTCCAAAGGGCTATAACTTTGTTACTTTAATTTTACCAGAAAAATGGTAAAGGAAAAAAACATTTCTTTTGATCAGATCTACTCACTGTTAAAATAAATGACTCAACTTCGAAGTCACCCTGTATAGGTACTACGTGCGTTTGCCAGGCATCACACATGAGTTAATTAGGACTCAAGTATCAAGATTCTCGAATATCGTAACATAGAATACGAAGACCAAACTTGCCGTGCGATAATCTGAAGACAAGGATTGGGAAACTTGCAAACTTGCGGAATGCATGCAGTGCATATATCCAACCAATTGAAACGCTTAAGTTTGGTAAATATGATCGACACAGGTAGTATTTATAAGTGGTATATTAAAACAAAATTCCAAAATGGCATAAGTGGAAGCATTTTATGAAAAGCACTAATTAGATGACATTCCTGCCATTTCTTAGAACAATGCTGCTGTGGTGCACTTATTTGCCAGTTTCGCAGACGACTTTTCCTACTTTTTAAAAGCATTTGTTGGGGCTAACAATTGAAACATAATTTAAGGTAGTCGCAAGAACTTCCTTAGAGCAAAAATACAAAACAGTTCTACCGCAAATTTTAATATTATTATTAATTACGGCATCTCTACAATAAAGAAGCTCAAAGAACAACTATATATTCAACTGTTTCTATATAACCAGGTATATAAGACAAACGATAGCTGGTGTACACGTTTATTGAAATGCAAAGAATGATGATACAGAATAGAAAATAAGTGAATTACAGTTTATTAGATATTATTGTTTAACAAGACACTTCTTTTCCTCCTTGTAAGAGAAGTAAATAACAATAAAGAAAATAAAGACTAAAAGAACATACAGCACCACAAATATACCCGCATCACACAATTGCTTCTTATTCATGCCACAGGTAGTCGGCCCATCATCTTCTACTCCAAATTCGTCGATGCTGATGCAAAATCTGGCACAACACCCTCTTGGTCTCTCACCTGGCTCAAGTTGTTCATCTTCAAAGGTTTCCTCAGGGTCTTGGATGCCACCATACATATCTGCAGACCTTTGGATGCCCCTCGTGTACACCAAATAGTTGGCAACCATGTTGATCATCCAATAGAACTGACGCTTGCTGAGGGACACGTAGGTATTTTCCCTGGAAAGTTCATATTCCCTTGCTGGAATGCCCTCGAGTTCTTCGAAACTGTCTTCGTCACAAACACGAACAATCACCATTTTTCCTGGTAACTTCGCTGATCACACGTACAGGCTAGGTAGTGATAACGGCGAGTATTTTGATGCACTATTGTTTCTCGCCTATGATTCGCTGTTTATATATTTTTTGATGACTACCCTTAGCCAGGAGCGGACTGACATTGAGTGCAACAGAATTAATAAATAATGCAACATATGAAACTTATTTTGCCGTTCTCATGCTGTTAGATGTTGTTCTTGCAAGATGAAATCAAAGTATAGAGAAAAATTACAATTAAAATATATTTCATATTTATCTGCCTTCCAGGTAATAATTCATTCGTTTTACTTCCCACGCCTACTGACGAGGAAACATTCTAATTGTGAAAAATTAGATGTTTTTTGGATGTTATGTGACATATACGTGTACATCACGAAAAACCATGCCACCCATATCCGTCGGTCTGCCTGTGTCTATCCACTATGCCTTGGTCTATATCTTCGAAAGTATTGGGCGGAATTTCATTAAATTTTCACACAAGATTACTACTATGCTAAGGACGAAAAGTTTTTGGAAATCGGTCCAGTAGCGGCGGAGAAAAAGGGCAAAAACGAAAAAAATCGCTCAAACATCGTTTTTTGACGTTTCAGAGGATCCTGATGACTTTTGGAAAATTGTATAGAGGTTAAAAAATGGGGGGTGAAGTCTGTAGGGGGTTGAGGAGGGTGTATCACAATTTTTTGATGTTACTTTATTAATAATAATAGCGTATAGCGGCAACTACAGTAGCAAGAAGCTTTGTGTTATGGTTGCTTTTGACGTTAAGAATGGCTTTAATATAGTACAATGGCAGGAAATTGTCGGATCTCTCGAGAAGCTAGACATCCCTAGCTATCTATTGAACATGATAAAGACCTACTTCCACAAGAGAGCACTTATGGTAGGGCAAAAGACGATGAAGATAACCGTATGAGTGCCGCAGGGCTCAGGGCTCCGACCTTTGGAACGTGTTCTACGATGGGGTTCGTCGGTTACAGATGCTGTCGGAAATTCACTTGATAGGGTATGCCGGCGACCTTGCGATGATAGTTACTAGCAAGGAGAGAGATAGACTTTAGGGACTTTTGAGTCTCCTGAGAAGACGGAAGAAGTTATACTTTCCGGCAGACATAAGCTAACTTCATTAGCAGCTAGAGTTGATAAGTCTGAGACTTGGAGCCATAATACAAGCAAGTACCTATCTGGGTGTGTGGCTTGACAAAGATCTGAAAATGATTGAGCACATAAGGCGCACCACTGACAAGCTAAATAAGTGGTTACATCTCTGACACGGCTAATGCCATCTCACGGAGGCCTCAGTGAGAAGCGCAGGATTTTGGCAGGGAGTGACAAACTTGATAATGCTTTACGGAGCTCCTATATATATATATATAACAAGGCCTTGAGAAGCCAGCGAAAAGTAATGCTGCGCGTGGTATGCGCTTACAGAACGGTGTCGACCGATGCACTGCTGGTGATGGCCGTTATCCCGCGAATCGATTTGCTGGATGCAGAGAGATGTGCACTCTATAAAAATGGCGTCGAACCTGCAAGCGACGAAAGACAGGCGCTTTCTGTCAGAGGGCAGGAGAGATGGGATGCAACCGACCATGGCGCATGGACCAGAAGGGTGATGCCAGATATTAAAACTTGTATTGATAAGAGAGCTGTGCGGACAGAATACCATAATAATAATAATCACCTAATCCAATGTGGTAGGTGCGTTCACTACCAGACAAAGCTCGAACTGACGCTCGACGAGACGCTCACTGCTGACAATTTTGCCACGCATAGACGCGAGGGAAAATGGGTTGATATTCAACCAATAGTGAGGCGAATGATGCTGAGTAAGGTACGGGAAAACAAAAATAGAACAAGGAACAAATTTGCTCGGTTGTACATGTACTTAGGTATAAAAGTAGATATGTGGGTGCGTGCGTGCGTGTGTGCGTGCGTGCGTGCGTGCGTGCGTGCGTGCGTGCGTGCGTGCGTGAGTGCGTGCGTGCGTGCGTGCGTGCGTGCGTGCGTGCGTGTGTGTGTGTGTGTGTGGGTGTGTGTGGGTGTGTGTACGATAGAGAATAGATGACTAATCCTTTCGGTATGAGGACGTAGCGCAACGCTACCCACTACGACGAAATGCTGCGAGCATTACCGTGGTAGGATGAATGGCAAACGACTGAGGGGTTTTAGTGCGTATGCCATTTCTGAAGAATTTCACACTTGGCGCAGGATAGGCCGGCAGGGCAATACTGTCGAGTTTTTCTGCCTGAGAATGGATTAAAAACTTTCCCCTGTCAAAAAAGTATATTAATACACTTCCAACCCACTTCCTATGCACCTATTAGACATACTTCACACATTATAGATTACCCCGTACAACTGCCATTAAAACTTACCGTAGACAAATGTTTTTGACAAGCGCCTGCCCATCATGCTTGCAGATATGGGTGAGAGACGCTGCGATCTTGCCAAATGAATCTTACTACGGGTGGGGTAGGAGAATAATGTTATGGACGAATTGACGGACTTGAATCGTTTAATTTCTCTGTTATATATAATAATAAAAAACGTCTTTATTGGGCAAAGTTTAGCATAAGCTATTCCACCACTTAACTCGTAAAATGGCTATCCACTAAATAAACAATAAAAACAATATATACCACTAAAAATGCAGAGGTTTCAACATAAAAACGAATTAATTGAGAAAAATAAATCAAGATTGGATAAAAGTATCACATTATAGGTACATACTTATAGAAAGATATTAATGCATGAACAGGGTACTTTCAAAGTTGATTCATTTATTTTAAGAGCTTATAGAGCTCGTCAAATGAAGCTGATATACCAAAAATCTACATAAAAGTTGCATAATAAGAGTGTTAGTTTACATTATTAAAATTATTTAAAAAAATCAATATCAAGTTAAATGGATACCGTTTTTACAAAAACTGTTAAAAATTGTCACAATTTGTTCAATTAACGCAAAATCTTGCTCGGCGAATCCACGACTCTTTAGAAGCATCGAAAATAAAATCCAGGTGTCCACAAATTAAATCACAAGCATTTTCAGTGCGAGGTTGAAGTTATTACTGCTCCATCATGATACGCCAACTCTTTCAAATAGCCATAGTCCAATAAGCATGCCATTTACCACGTCACAGCATGTGGATTTTCTACTGCAGAAACATGATTGTTGGGGAAATTGTGCATTCCATTTCGTGTAAGTGTGACCTCGTCTGTACACCAAATTATTTTCGTAAAATCTTCATTTCTGTCGAACTGTTTTAAAAGCCACAGGCAAAATGCAACTCTTTCAAATAGCCCCACAGAAAGAGATCGCAAGGCTAAATCCAAGAAGCGAGCAGGCCAAGAAATGGGTCCATTGCGCCCTATCCATCTATTCGGAAGCTAATTATTTAGATGTTCATGAACTTCTCGTCTGAAGTGTGGTGGAGCCCCATTATGTTGGAACCACATATTCTGTCTCACATTCAGAGGAACATCTAATTATTGTGACACATTATGGTTCTAGTACTTCGACCATTTCTAAATGCCTTTCTCAATTTGTAACAGGTTGAGCAGGTTTTCCAGCGTGATGTCCTCGTTGTTCTCTTAAATATCATGTGTCACGAAGTATAATAACTGGGCCATTTTTCACACAAAATAATCAGACAAATCAGAGCATACGCACTATTAAAAGACTGATACAACTGATCGAACCAAAGACTCATACTGAAAATCATACAATAACGCAAAAAGTTTATTTAGATAAGCGATAAGAGTAGTAAACAAAAAACATTAATTTTGAGACGGCAGTGGTCCAGAATATCAAAAAATAAGTGTAATAACATTCTTATTTTTTAAATGTTTAATCTTTTACTATTTCCTTCATTATGCAACTTTTATATAGGTGATTTTTTGAAGATATATCAACTCCTTTTGACGAGACCTACAAGAAGTTAAAATAAATGACTCAACTTTATAAGCAGAAGCGAGAGATAATTGTATGTCAACCATTGCTCGAAAATGATTTTTTTTAAAACTTTTAAAATTTAAAGCTTCAGTGTCAGAAGGTAAAGCATTGTACATGATAGTAGCGTTACAAAGAAAACATTTAGTAAAAAATGAAGTTCTGTGAAGAGGCATTGTTATTGTATGAATAAAGCGAATATCTCTTGAGTGCAAAGAACCACGAAATTTTAACTTATCTTTCAAAAATGGGGAAAACGAGGTACGTAAAAGCTTATGAATATAACATGGTAAATGAGACTTAAATAGATCAGGAGCAGATAACCATTCAAATTTTATGACCGAGGAGGTAGGGTGGTCATATTTTTTCAAGTTACAGATTAATCTGCAATATGAATTTTGATTTCTTTGCAAGGGTTTGACAGATACTGAATCTGAAAACGAATGATAAACAATGTCGCGGTATGTAATTTTTGAAATAACTAATCACAGAGAATTTTTTTAGTTTCGTAATCGATAATTTGTTTGTTCACGTATAATTACCGAAGTACTGAAAAACATTTTTTTGTAACGTTGTTCACATGAGGAATAAAATTCAGACCTTCATCAAGAGATATGCCTAGATTTTTTACTGTTCCTCATACTTCATCAAGAAATATGCCTAGATTTTTTACTGTTCCACTTACCTTTATAATTTCACCATTTAATGATCGTCGAATATTCCTTAATTTGGTTTCTAATTTTTTAGCAGAGAATATAATTACTTTAGATTTTTCTGGATTTAATCTAAGATAATGAATGTTTGCATACTAGTCGATAGATCTCAAGTCTTCATTAATTTGAGCCTCAGCAATTATTACATTGCCAGTATTAAAATTATTGTATAACTGCGAGTCATCCGCAAAAAACTGAGTATTGCAGTGTTTAACAATCTTATCAAGATCGGAGATATATAAAATAAAAGGAAGTGGCCCAAGAACCGACCCTTGAAGCACTCCAGATGATATTGAAGCCTCAAGAGAAGTGTTCATAT